CAGCCCAGCACTGTCTCCCTCATCTAACACACCCGATTTAACTCGTCAGCTCATTAATAGAGACTTTAAGACCTGAAGTGTGTCAGAAAAGGTAAAAAGATTTGAGAGAAAATATGATGCGTGTCAGATCTGCGTCACGTTCAGAAGCGGAAGCTCTTAAAGGTCCCATATTTTACACATTTCTGGAGTTTTATTTTAGGTTTTGATGTCCTTAGGAATATATATTTGCGGTATAAGTACCAAAAACCATCTCAATATATTTTTACAGCTCCTCTCTCAGGATCTCTGCTAAGAACGGGTCAATTTTGGCCTGTCTAATTAATATTCATGAGCCTCTCTTCTGATTGGCCTGTTGTTTTCTGAGTGACGCATGGCCAGGCCAACCACAGGTAACTAGGGTCAGCCGACGTCACAGCGCTAGCTGGAGGCAGCAAAACAAAGGAGAAACTGGAGGCAGCCCATTCAAACCAGCGCAGATTCGGCTACATAAGGAGCTTAAAATATCATCTTGTTGTGATGTTGGGTGCCAGAATCGACGTAATACAGCCTCAAAGAAGAAGATTGTTTTAAGTTCACTTATATTAGAAGTTATTTTTTAAAGTGTAATAAATGTTAAAATCGATAGCTCTCAATTATACTGTAATGCTGAATGGCTATAGTCAATGGTTAAATATTAGGGGGGGCAATTTTATAGAGAAATCAATATTGGTATCATTGATACTGGCCTTCAATCATAAAAAATATACCGTTAAACAAATATTAAAAAATATACTGTCTTCATGTTGTTTGTACATTAAATTAAAGATTGAATGTGAAATTATTGCAATATAAAAGTATATTTAAAAACTTGAATGTTAGGTGGGATAAATCGCGATTAATTTCAGAAAAATGTGCGATATTTTTTTTAATCGATTGACAGCACTAATATATATATATATATATAAATAAATAAATGAATATATACAGTGGTGTGAAAAAGTGTTGGCCCCCGTCCTGATTTCTTATTTTTTTGCATGTTTGTCACACTTTAATGTTTCAAATATGCAAAATGTTAATAATTTTAACAAAATAAGAGAGATCATGAAAATTGCATGTTATTTTTTATTTAGTACTGTCTTGAATAAGCCATTTCACATAACGTATGTTTATATATACTCCACAAGACAAAATAATAACTGAATGTATAAAAATGACCCCCTTCAAAAGCTTACATACCCTTGAATATTAATACTGTGTGTCATTTCCTGGATGATCCACAACTGTTTTTATGTTTTGTGTTAGTTCATGAGTCCCTTTTTGGTCCTGAATAGTTCAGTTGTCTGTTGTTCTTCAGAAAAATCCTCCAGCTCCTGCACATTCTTTGGTTTTCCAGCATCTTTTGCATATCTGAACCCTTTCCAGCAGTGACTGTATGATTTTGAGATCCATCTTTTCACTTTGAGGACAATTGAGGGACTCTGATGCATAAGAAGGCAACACGATGCATTAAGAGCTGGAGGGTGTAAACTTTTTGAATTGGATGATCAGAGCAAATTGAACTTATTTTGTCTTCTGGGAAACATGTATGTATTTATGTAGCTTCTGAAGTGCAGTACTAAATGAAAAAAATATGATCTTTAATCAAAATAAGAAAAATGTACACATCATCATCCTGTTCAAAAGTTAAAGGGTATTGGCCTAAATCGAGCACAAACAGATACAATGTTCATTTTAACGGCACAAATCAAGCACATACAAATGCCACTGTTTTGGAACGTACATGGGGTGGAGAGTGATGTAACTGTTCCTAAAAAGTTTTTTCATTATATTTAAGAAGCAGTCATAGTTACAAGGTTTCCTTTTAATGGAACGAATTGAGCTCAAACAAACGACACCTATTTGGAAGGATTTGGATGGAATGAATTGAAGAGTGACGTCACCGCTCCCGAAAACATTTTTGCTATAGCTTAAATGAAAGATTTAATTTAAGATTTCTTAAATGAACGCAACTTGCACTGACATTTCTTAAAATATGTCAGTGCCACTGATTTGTGTCAGGATGTACACCAACAAAGCTTTTTTTCTAAGGCACATTTAAAAAATTACTTAAATGTCCTAATTTAACTAGGGCCTAATCCTGGCTTAATCTATGCCCTGTCTGTGAAACCAGGCTTTAATGTATTAGATTTGAATCCCTCCATTGGTATCTATTTTATTCCTGCATTGTGGCTGAATTAATTTTAATTTAAAAATTTGCTCTGTTACGGTTGTACCAGTTCATAAGTGTGTGTGTATTTTGCACTTTATTTTCTTTAGAGTTTAACACATTCATTGCCATGTGCTTTTATTCTACATCATGGCTGATTAGTAGATAGCAACCCCCCCCCCCAGAAAGGACATTTTTACCTTTCTAGTCAGTTTTAATTTAATGATAGCTGGGCTTTAGTTACTTTTACCTACCTTTTATTTTCTATTTCCAGGCTCACTACATTAAGGCTGCAGCGTTCAGGAGCGCTGACCGCAATGAAGAGGCTCTACAAGAGTATTTCTGCTGTTTGGCTCTTAAGTCTGATTGGATTGCCATAAAACTGGAGGCCCAAAAGGTACATTAATATTTGTTTATTTGCAAATGTCAATCTTTGTGTGGTAAATCTGTTGTGTGATGGTTTCTCTTCTAATTTTGATGTTAATTTTAAAGCTTAAACCCTTAGTTTTATTAATTTATGAAGTGGTCAATGTTACTTTTGTACAACTTTTGCTGTCTATCTACAGATCCTGAGTCACATGGTCTCTTCAGTCTTTGTGACTGATGGTCTGGCCACGTCCATGCAGCCCCTTCCAGCTGTACCCTCCTCTCGTATCAAACCTTCATTCCTCCTCAGCTCTCTTCACTCCTCTCTTCCTAGAGATCGAGCCAAAGAAGGCTGCTCCAAGGTTACTGTGCTTAGATACAACTGATTAAACAATTGCACCGATTTGTTACAATGGAGATATTATCACACTGAATATTTCTAAGACTAATTTTGATTTGCAAAGCAATTTTAGATTCATAGCATAGGATCATAGCACCATCAATGCTAAAATTATTATTTTTTTGTATATGTGTGTTAGGAACCAACACTCAGTTGCAGCAAGTTCAAAGATGGGAACTCTTATATTTTACCAAGATCTGAAAACATGAACTCTGGCCTCTCTTCACCCTTTGTTCAACCAGTCCTAAAAAGGAAATGGACAGAAGATGCTAAGGGCTTTGAGCCACCCAACAAACAGCTTAAAGAAGGTATAAAAGTCATGGTTTAAACCCATGATTTATTCATTTGGAAAAAATAGATAATTACTAAGATCTCTGGCTGGTTGTACAAACTTTTTTCTCTCTCTCTCTCTACTTTTTCTTTTTCTCTCTACTTGCTTTGTTCCCAGATAATGCATCTTCATGTAAAACTCTCCCTACTTTTTCTGGGGAGAGGCAAGTTCCATCACAGCTTTTGGACAGTGCAGACTTTGAATGTTCTCTCTGCATGAGGTAATGATAAATTTTTCTCTTTGAAAATAACACTTAACTTGGCAAATATCTAAATCCTCCTCACTAATGTATTATTCCAGACTGTTTTATGAGCCTGTCACCACACCCTGTGGACACACATTCTGCCTCAAGTGTTTGGAACGCTGCTTGGACCACAACCCTAACTGTCCCCTGTGCAAGGAGAACCTCTCTGAGGTAAATATCAATACACTTGCAAAACAGTCTACACACAACACTAGCGTAGCCAGGAATTACAATGTGGGTGGGCCCAGAGAAAATTGGGTGGGCCTAGCCTAAAATACATTTGTGATCAAAATAGTCCAGCACAACTAACAGTTACACCTGCTTGAATACACATGACCATTTAATCAGAGCATTATAAGTAGTGATGGGCAAATGAAGCCTCGGCTCGTGAAGCACTAAGGCTTTCCTCTGACTCTTTCGGGAAAAGATTCAAAGTTTCGAGTGAACCACCATCTGGTGGTTAATAAAAATATAGCAGCCAAAAGCCTGTGAAAGACGCTCCGTAGGACGAGGCATCTACCACATATTCCACATATCAATTCAAGTTACGTGCACAAATAAAAGCCTAACAGTGTGTGTGTGTATTTGTGTTTGTTGAGTTTCTGGTAAATTCATTTACCCATTAAACTGTGCAATTTAATACCAGTACAAATATCAATATGATGTTATAGAAGAATAATGTATACATTTGAATTGCATACGACAAATATTACATTTTTCTGAAATAATTTGTATTCTTCATATTACTTGTATGTGCCGTAATATACATTACAAAAAAGTAGCTATAGGAAGAAATATTTTTATTCAACAGAATTTTTCACACACAAACTTTTAAGGTTACAATGTGGCCATAACATTGTTTTCTGAAGTGGCATTTAGGTATATTTACACAGACTGTTCATCAATTACAATTGCATAAATAATGCTATGGTATATATTAATGGGTTTCAAATGGGCATTAGTGGGTGTTTTTTTAAATATATATTTTTTTTAATGAAATGATAAAGTATGAAACTAAAACTGCTAGTAGGTGGCGGCTAGTCACTGACTTAATGAAGTAGTTAAGGAAATAAAAATATTAGGGAAAAAAATACAGCTGCCATGTATCACTGTTTCATCCCCAATAAGCCATTGGTGCTTGGACTGTGATAATTGTGGATGTGGTTGTTATATATTTATATACTTGATATAGATTATAGGTTTAAAACCATGTACTTTTGTGTCTGTTGTTGTTTGGGGCAACTGCCTGTCCAGACATGGTGAATTGGCATTTGAGCTGGGATTTTTGAGTGGAATTGTTTTTTTAAATGTTGATTCTCGTTTAGTACAGAGTGCTTACAGTGATATGACAGACTATAGAAACAATAAAAAATAAAAAAAAGAATAAAAGATTGAGTATTTAAATTTATCACACACCTGCGGATAAGGTTGTTTTAACATGTAATAATGTTACTATACAGCCCTGACCTCTATGCATAACATATTGTCCTCTCCTCTAAGAAATGTATGCATAAATGTATCATTTGACTTTGCAGTTTATGAGAAAACTAGCAAAACAATTTAATTAGATGATGTTAGTCACTGAGGAGATGCTTTCTTATCCAAAATGAACACATCTTTCTGTTCTGCAGTATCTGGCCACTAGAGCGTACAACAAAACTCTTCTAATGGAAGAATTATTGCAGCGCTACTTTTGTGATGAGCTAGCTGAAAGGCAAAAAGTACATGAAGAAGAGATGAAAGAATTGTCAAAGTAAGTTGACTTTGGATATAATGGTTTTCCTAACTTTTTTCTGGTCTTTGATGTACCATGTCTATACACACCTAGGTTTTGACCACTTCTTAAAGGCTGGTATCTTTGTTATACCCTGAAACAGTTAATGATTTATTTGTCATCTGTATAGTAATTGTTCCCTGTTGGTTATCAGGACATTAGTATTGTCTCTTGTTCATGTGTACATATTGCATTTTTATATTCTTCTTGTTTCAGCTTGAACCAGGAAGTGCCCATCTTTGTTTGCACTATGGCATTTCCTACCATTCCCTGCCCACTGCATGTTTTTGAGCCTCGATACAGGCTTATGATTCGCAGATCTATGGAAACGGGAACGAAACAGTTTGGCATGTGCATTGCTGATGAACTGAAAGGGTAAGAGGCATTGAATTAATTTAAAGTGTGGGTCTACACTGATTTACTTAATAAGGAAAATCTGTTTGGTATTGCAATTCAAAAGGTTAATACATCAAGTAACTGGTAAGAGTTTTTGGCTTTTTTTTCATCCGAGTTCACTACTGCAGTGGAGTTTTGTTGTCGTAGCCTAGTTTTAATACAGTTTACATTTAAAGGGATACTCCACCCCAAAATGAACATTTTGTCATTTATCACTTACCCCCATGTCGTTTCAAACCCATAAAAGCTTTGATCGTCTTCGGAACACAATTTAAGATATTTTGGATGAAAACCGGGAGGCTTGTGACTGTCCCATTGACTGCCAAGTAAATTACACTGTCAAGGTCCAGAAAAGTATGAAAGACATCGTCAGAATAGTCCATCTGCCATCAGTGGTTGAACCGTAACATTGTGAAGCGACAAGAATATATTTTGTATGTGAAGAAAACAAAAATAACGACTTTATTCAACAATTTGTCTCCTCTTTGTCTCTCCGCATCACCGTAGCGCTATTTTGGAGAATATTCGCTGGACGCAAGCAGCGTACGGTATTCTTTTGGGGTGGAGTAACCCTTTACGCGGCAGCAAGATTAATTTTTACTGAGCCGAAAAGAATGCGTCACACCTCTGTTTATCAATTTGCACTGGCTACCAGTAGCTGCTCGCATTAAATTCAAGGCATTAATGTTTGCCTACAAAACCACCACTGGGCACAAAATCACTTTCACTGACTTTTAAATTAAATGTTCCCTCCTGGTGGCGGTGGAGTCCTTAGCCATCTTCAAGAATCGGCTAAAAACACATCTCTTCCATCTTTATTTGACCCTCTAACTCTAGCACTCTCTATTCTAATTCTATACTTTTAAAAAAAGAAAAAAAAAAACTTGCCCCTTTTAGACTTGCACTTTATTCATTTACTGCTTGTTTTCTTTAAAACAACAAAAAAAAACACTAGCTTCTCTAATCTTTTTGTATTCTATCTGTTTTCTTTTTATTTATTATATAATAAAAAAACTAACAAACAAAAAAAACCTTGCTACGTGTACTGTGTTAAGCTAACTGAGACTTGTTATTGCACTTGCATATCATTGCTCTTTTGTTGATTTTGATTGCTTCCATTGTCCTCATTTGTAAGTCGCTTTGGATAAAAGCGTCTGCTAAATGAGTAAATGTAATGTAAATGTAATGAAACCGTGGTTTACAGTGAATTTATAACATCTAAGGGGGTTTTGTCGTGTCGGCCACTCCGTGTCATGCCTAACGCCCCTTATCTCTTATAAATTCACTGTAAACCATTGCTTCTTGGGGCTTATTGTTTTAATATATCCTTTCCTTTCTGTGTGTATCTGCTTCACACTCTTGATATTCTAGAGTAACTCTTTCATTGCTGTGACTCAACAACCAGACTGCCAGAGGGTTAAATGTATGAGCCTGCTGTGCGCTGTTTTCCTGATGCCACCGGGGTGACAGCGGCACCTGGGGCTTGGGCCCGCCATCGCTGCTTGCAGCTATATTATCTGTTTTGTAGTCTACTTTTATAATATACTAACAACCACCAAAAACACAGGTGATAATGAAAAAACGTCACAATGAATCAAAGCTCATGCATCACAAGTAGCTCTTCCACAAGCTGAAGTAAATATGAATATATATAGAAGGTGCACTTTGTCATTCACACAAATAATAAACACCATCATGGTAACGACATGATAAAATAATGTAATAAACATTCATATAACAACAAAAGATGTAACATAAAAATAGAGACTTTTAAATTAAATGTTCCCTCCTGGTGGAATGACCTGCCCAACTCGATCCGAACAGCTGAGTCCTAAGCCATCTTCAAGGATTGGCTAAAAACACATCTCTTCCATCTTTATTTGACCCTCTAACTCTAGCACTCTCTATTCTAATTCTATACTTTTAAAAAAAGAAAAAAAAAAACTTGCCCCTTTTAGACTTGCACTTTATTCATTTACTGCTTGTTTTCTTTAAAACAACAAAAAAAAACACTAGCTTCTCTAATCTTTTTGTATTCTATCTGTTTTCTTTTTATTTATTATATAATAAAAAAACTAACAAACAAAAAAAACCTTGCTACGTGTACTGTGTTAAGCTAACTGAGACTTGTTATTGCACTTGCATATCATTGCTCTCTTGTTGATATTGATTGCTTCCATTGTCCTCATTTGTAAGTCGCTTTGGATAAAAGCGTCTGCTAAATGACTAAATGTAAATATCATGTTAGCATTTCCCATGTGTTCAGTTGCTTGGAGATGTGCCTTTAATGTCTCCTGTGTCAGTAATGTCTTACTGTGTATGTGACAGATCCTTGCAGACACTAGAGACTTGCTTGCACTTGTTCATTTAATGGTAGTGAATGGTGACCGCCTTCAAGCTTTAAAAACATTCAAAATTCTCAAAATTTTATGTTTTAAGTTTTTGAAAGCATTAGGGGTGTAACGCACACATATTCATATTGAAAATTTTCGGTATAAGTGTTTTTCGATTCGGTACGCATATGTACACAATGAGTACAGCGTTGTAGCCTATTAACCAGTCTTAACCATCAATAATCATGATAAGCTCACTGTATTGTTATCTTCAATAAGAATCATAGGCTGTGTCCCAAATTTCCCCCATAGCCTTAAACAGTGCACTATTTGAGGGGACAGCTATTTGTAGTTGTCTGAAAGTCTGAAAGTGGACGTTATTGAGTGTACTCATTCAATCCCATAATGCACCACAATAACAACTGATGTACACTCACGGGATAGAGAATACCCATAATGCACTGTGAGGGTTGTGCCGAATGTATTCCCGCATCTCGCCAGAAGATGGCGCCCGCAGCTGAATCAACCATTCATCTGTTTTCCAAACCACTGCAGCAATGTGGGTACAGTGTTATATCATATAGGTATAAATTTTGTTTAAATTGATCATTAAATAATTTAAGTAAGGTTTATACATGCTTGTTTGGAGCTGGAGAAGCCAGTTTGCTAAGTTACAAATCATTATTAAACAGCAAGCACAAACTATGCAAAATTGGCAGCCCTTCTGTCGCACTCGGTCCAAATTCTTTCACTCCTTCAACTGTACTATATTAATGTAGGGAAGGGTATAGGGTATAATGAGGGTATAGGGGGTGATTTTGAACACAGCAATAGCCTCTTCTTTCAAATTCGGTCCATTTGATCACAAAATTCAAACAATAAATGTAGTTTTTCGAGTTCAAAACCGAGGTACGTACCAAACCATCACTTTTGTGTACCGTTACACCCCTAGAAGGCATATGATAGGGTTTAGAAAAACCAAACCAAATTTTTGGGACAAGTAAAATTGTTTTCATTTTTTTTAGTCAATAACTTTAATGCCTGCTTAATGTTGATCCCTGGACATTCTCATAAAATTATTACTGGATAGCACCCACTCTAAATTCCTGTTTTCTAGAATAAAAATATTCTGTTACTGTTCACCACTGCCCTTCACCAACCTAAAGAGATAAATGTGTTCACCAAAAAAAAAAAAAATCATTATAAAATGGGTAGTACCAGTCCTTGATTATGATTGGTTGAGCTGCATATGTGCCCATTGTAAAATACTCTATTTTAGAAACATAGACCTGGGACCTCATTACATCGGTATTACTGCGCCACTGCATCTGTGTGTTGCTTGTCAACCATTCTACTACCAGTATTACTGTGCCAAAGAAATAGTTTCAAAATGTCACATTTTGTTATAAAATAAATATTAGAAAAATATTCATATGGAAATAACTGTTTTATAAAAGCAATGCATCCAGTAAAGCCATGGTTTACACTGAATTTAGAACAACTAAGGGGGTTTTAGTCCGCTTAGCTGTTGTAAATTCATTGTAAATCACAGCTTCATGGGACTTATTGCTTTATTTACTTTGTCTCACCCCAAACCAGCATGAATGACTTTCTTCTGTGGAACACAACAGAAGATATTTTGAAATTGTTAAATTTTCATCTTCCACAAAATTTCCCAACATTTTTAATTTTACTAAAACCTGGCCACCTACTGGTCCAGAAATGTGAAAGCTATTCACTCTAAAAACCAGTAGAGCATATATTTAATTAAAGCATATATTTATTTAAATAATTAAATTGCAGCCTGTGCAATTGACATTTGCACTAAGCCATATTGCGATATTGATTTGATTTAAATATATTGTGCAGCCATACATTTTACCCAAACAGATTTGAGGCTGTAATCACTGCCAAAGGTGCTTCAGCTAGGTGCATAAAGGCCCCAATGTATAGTGAAATCGATGTCTTGGATGTGGAATCTTTTCAGGTAAACCTACATTGCCTCGGCCAAACCATTCAATATCATAAAACCCATTTGCATTTTAGCATCCTCAGTGTCTTGACATTATGTTGACTGAGTTTGGTGGCAATCGGGCAGGACTATGTAAAAACTTCAGAGTAGCTGACTTTTTGTTGAGCAGAGCATGTGACATGCAGTACGAAAGTTGTTCAGCTCAATGATATCTATATGTGTACTGGGTTTAGTGCATATACTTTCAGTGCTTTGGGCCCTAATTAGAAAGAAGTGTTAATGTGTTAATGTAGTGCATAAAATCTTGACATGGAGTTAAATGGCTGAGGTGTGTGATTAACAGGTTTGCAGACCATGGCTGTATGCTGGAGGTGAGGGATGTCAAGTTTTTTCCTGATGGGCGCTCTGTAGTGGACACCATAGGCATTGCTTGTTTCAAAGTGCTCAGTCACGGCCAGAGAGATGGATACCACACAGCCAAGATTGAATATTTGGAGGATAAGAAGGTACAGATATATTTTTGCATTCAATTGAAGTATGAATGCAAGTGTCCAAATCCAAAAAAGGGATTGTGTGAGAGAGACAAAATCACCAGTCTTCCACATTGACCATATATGTGCATGTGTGTTCAGGTTGAAGGAGAGGAGTTGACCGAGCTCCTGAAGTTGCATGACTCTGTGTATGATCAGGCCTTGGGCTGGTTCACCTCCCTTAAAGATGATATGAAGAACCAAATCATCAGCCACTTTGGGCAGCTGCCTGTCAAAGACTCTGACCCACAGGTGAATGTTTAGACCAAATCATTCTCACATTTGTTCTAAATCACCGTTCATGGTAATCTTGCCTCCAACCTGTCTGCTGCATATCACACCAGTATTTTATTTTTATTTAAAAATGTTTGTAGTTTGCCTTTATAGCCAGGTTTATGTTGCGATTTTAAAGGGGTCATATGACGATGCTAAAAAGAACATTATGTTGTGTATTTGGTGTAATGCAATGTGTTTATGCAGTTTAAGGTTTAAAAACACATTATTTTCCACATAATGTACATTATTGTTGCTCCTCTATGCCCCGCCTTTCTGAAACGCGTCGATTTTTACAAAGCTCATCGTTCTGAAAAGCGAGGTGTGCGCTGATTGGCCAGCTATCCAGTGCGTTGTGATTTGCTGAATACCTCAAGTGTGTGACGGAAATGTTACGCCCCTTAACACACTGTCTCCCGGCACGGCGAGACAAAACCAATAAAACCCATTACAAACGAGGCATTTGTTGCATCCAGTGGGGACATAATTACGGATTATAATGACTTATACTGTGTTTTTACGCGTTGCGTAATGTATCGCGCCGCATAAACATAAAACCATGTCTGCATTCGTGATCGGAGAAACGACAAACAAGCGCTACTCGCGTTTGAATTATCAGTGGCAAATTCTTTAAATATAAAAAATTAACTTGCAGGCTGTGAGTCAGAAGCACCAGACTGTCCTTGCAAAGTTGGAACTGCCCCACTTTATAGAACAGCCTTTGAGCACAGACCCATTGTATGCTGCTCTGCAGGTTCAGGAAACAGTCTTCCATAAAATGCGTCACACACGACGGGCTTGAGTGAGCGGAGGCCGGCGGCCTTGAGAACGGCACGGCTGGTGGATTCGGCGAAGGAGCGGCCGCCGGGCGTGCGGCAAC